TATATATACGCATCACTTCTCATGTTAATCAAGCTGGGAAGCACTGCAACAGCCTGAGCATGAGCTCCCAAATTCATAGTCGTGGTTGTGCGTAACCAGGCTAAGTGTTTCAAATTTGTTGCGGACTGGCTCTTTTTTGTGCAGATTTCTACATATTTACTGTTCAAAAATATTATTCAAGGCCTAAAAATTGTATTCATCTACTTGCATTAGGTCCTGCAGGAGTAATTTACCTCTAAGCAGTTTGAGAAATGTTTGGACATTGAGCGCACAGTGCCAACACATCTTGGACCGCCCAGATCACTGTTCTCTCTCTCAAGGTACGAGACAAAAATTATGTTGTTTCCTCGCAGCTCTGGTTCCAGAATTCTTGCAGCTCGTTCTCGACACATTGTCTGTGCAGAACCTTTTTCTTGGTCATGGCCGAGAACTTTGGTTCTTGTTCTTAAAAATAGAGTTGTGGCGTTCGCAAACATTCCCAATCTTTCCAACGGTTCCTTACAACAAAAAATAGGAACAAAGTTGTAAGAAAATTTAGTGTTCGTTAACTGAAATCGTGACGAAACCACATGAATGTTGAATAGATTACACTGTGAAGAGCAGAGGACCATACAACACCAGTGACTGGAGCGAACACTGGTTTAATGTTCTCTGTGCAAACAAGAAGCCAACAAATGAAAACCGGAAGTCCCGGCTTATAAAAACATGCTCTTCAGTGCCTGGTACGCCCACTACAGGCCTACTGCTGAATCACAGACACAACAGACATCCTCTCCTGATGTTCATTAACGGTTATTTTTTACGTGTTGTGATGGTGTTTCAGGCATGTATCTAAACCTATTTTAATCAAGACATAACAATAGTCAAAAAATAGATTATAAGAATCAATACTTAAAAAGGAAAACTATGAAATGGTGTGGTGCTTTTAAAATCAGTTTCTAAATGACTAATAAATTTCATCAAAGTCATAGGCAGGAAAAAAGATGTTTGTGGTTTTAATTTATTTTACTCCTCATAATATCTTTTTGTTTTTACGGACAAAAGGCCGAGCAATGGAGTACAATTGCTCTGCGGAAAAATAGGTGGGTGTTTGCACTTAACAAAACTCATGGTTCCGCCCACGTGATGTGATGATGTCATCATTTACGCTGCACGTGATGACGTATTTCCTTACATGACAGCTTGTTCAAAATCAAAGGGTTCCTTTGAACGGCTCTATGAAACAAACAGCTCCTCAAGATCCTCCTCATAGTTTACCTGATAAGAAGTGTTTATTACTACTACTACAGAAAGGGTGATCGTGTCTTTGCTCCTGTCTTTGTATGAGTCTGAGCTTGTCTGTGTGTCAGCAAAATATTTCATAAACTGAACAGTTTATAAGGAAACTTTCAAAAAGTACCAAATCCACAACTTGTTAACTTTTGAAATTGATTCATTTCAAGAGATTTGCCACAACCAACTGGTTTTAAGAAATGCTTTACAAAAGTGACAGTTTTTTAGCTAAATTTTCATGTGGTAGTAGCTGAGAGTCCTTCACAACAGACACTCTGAGAAGTCTTTCTGAGATCGAGCACGTCTTTTGGAAAGTCAGACCAAAAGGTGAATTACATGTCAGGACTTTAACTTTCATTCTCACAGGAAAGACACTAAAATAAAAGTTAAATTAAAACCGCTTCTCTTCACAATAAGTTTAAAATTAATTTAGAATATAACATTTATTGCTCCGAGAAACTGATAAGATTCAAATAACATCAAATTAAAACAAATCAATGTTACTGTTGCTCAAGGCTGTGAGGTGAACTCTGAGCAGCAAACTACAGATAGATCCAGTTTTGAAAGTTTTCATTTATAATGCTTAAACATGTCCATAAAATCGCCAACAGCTGACGTGAAATGAATAAAACTGTCTGGTCTGACCTCACACCTTCTTAACTTTCAGCTACTTCCTGTTTTTGGTCCAAATCAAACCTATTAAAACTCTGGCTGCAGCCAAACAGTAAGCATCTCCTTTAGTGCCTTTAAACCAATACATAATTACATTTATTTAATCTTTATTAGCTTTCCATGCTTACCCAAATGTCCTGGATTGAATTGTGGAAACAGTCATGCAGTTTTTATTTGCTCGTTTATAAAAATTCAAACCTCCAGAGAATCTGTGGAAAGAGAACACCTGAATAAAATCAAATGTTTCATTATCACCCACCGCCAGAAGCAGAACAATAAACTTTGTGAGTGTTTGTTTGTCTGAACCAAAATGTTTGATGAACCTCAGGATGAGTTTTAGTGAAGCTGTTAGAAGGTAATCATTGAGAAAATTGATAGCAAACACAAAAACAGCTGCAGCCTCGCCTGTTTTACAAATTTTATTATGGAAATCTGCATCTAAAGTTACATCAAGTGATAAAAAATCTTGTTTTAACACTGAATCTCACAATAAAGAAGAATGTCATTTTGAAGGTTTATCAGATTTCAACACTTGAGGGCAGAAATCATTATTTTTAGAGGATTTTCAATCCTTACTCATAAAACACAAGCAGGACCAGAGCCAGTTTGGTACCCCCTAGATGAGATTTCAGGTGGTGCCTCTTGTGCAATTTTTAAAATCTAAATGCCAATTTACAAACATTATACCAAATTAAATAGTTTAGTCTTTCATGTCATTTTTTATCTTTAGAAACCAGGTTGTCCAATTAAAACAGTTAACAATATAACTAATTTGAAACAGGATAGGAGTCTGCCTCTTACCTGCCAACATCTGCTGACATCATGAGGAACACCTGTTCATAATAACCAGCTGTGGAGTGAAGCAGTTCTAGGGGGGTCCAGGGGCCCCTGGAAATTTAGTAAAAGATCTAATCAAAACTGCATTTTCCAGACATTTGAAGGTAATTTTATTAAACTGTTGGGATTAATAAAACAACATATAATCAGTACTTTAACTTGAACTTTATCTGAGATCAGAAATGAAACTTCTATTATTCTTATTTTTATTTACACACTGAGCACCAGGAGTTTTGTTTTTTATTTACACACTGAGCACC